CTACTGGAAACAGACAGCCCATACTTTTCAAGAGAAGGTGAGGCTGCATCTACTCCTGCTCATCTGGGACAAATAGTATTTCTGTCATCAAGGGGCAGCCTTGGAAAGAGATCCTAGCAAAGGCTAGTGCAAATGCCTACCTCCAATATGTAGAGCGGTTGGCACCAGAAATGTAACTGGTTGGTTTTCGGGCCAGGCTTGGTGCGACCTGGTCCTGGTCCCAGAGCCCTGGGAGTTAAGGAATGTCCCTAGAAAGGTGAGGGATCATTCCTTTTTCTGTATAGATATTTTTTATGAAACCCAGGGGCCCATCTCTGTTAACAAGGATTTTTCTCTTTTTGGTGTATTTCCTCTTTATTTGTGAATGTGGGTTTCAAAATTAGTTGATTTTTGTGTAAAAAAAGACTGGATGCTCCAACACACCCACAAGGGACAGAGATGGTGGTAAGAGTCATAGAACTGTGAAGATAAATACCAGGTACCTCAGTGTTGATTCAGATGAGGATGATGGCACATTGACAAGAAAGGTAAAATATTTTGCGTTTATCTTGTCATAATTGACATATTAGATAACTGTTTGTTTAATGTTCAAATAACATCCATTTTTTGCCAAGCATGTTCACATTGTCATGTTATTCAAAATGTTTTTTTTCAATGGACCTTTAGAATCTGTATTTTTTGATGAATGAATGATGTACATGGTGACAGACTACAGTTTAATATTCCCGTATTGTTTCGATGTTGACATATTACTATTAGATGCATTTGTCATTTCTGCCGTCCACAATATTTTTTCGACTTCATGTTACATACTTAATGCATGTAGATGTCACAGGCCAGATCCCGTTCCAGGCCAGTTATATATATATGTGAATGTTTTTTAATAAACATTTCTACACATTTTAGCAGCCTCCACCAAAGAAAAGACGCGTTTAAGGCACTTCTTTGGCAGCTATAAAGGAGAAGTTAAAGGGGAAATTAGGAGATAAAGTTGAGGTATGAAGCGCACCTATAAATATGAACATGAAATGGGTGTTACAGTTTTTTTTAAAGTTATGAATAGGCTCCCAGCCTTTAAGGTCTGGGGTCGAAATTGTTCTTAATTTATATAAGTTAGTTCAAAAACACAATTTTCTGCTAACCTCTACATAATATTTATGATGTGTATGTTGGAGGAACTTGACAGTTTTGTTCAAGCAGAAGTTTTCAATCCAAATTCCTTGGGAAATTATATTTGGATGGTTTGGGTTGAGCATTTAGGTCAACCAAGGGCTGATAAGTTCGGGAAAAATACAGTTTACATGAGTTGCAATCATTTTTTATGTGGAGTCATTTCTGCCCTGAACATTACTAGAAATGTGTTACTACAGTAAAAATTATGATTTTGCAATATCAAATTTTTGCTTAGACCGAAGTTGGAGATGAAGATGATGGGTGCAAGGAGGAGGAAAACCTTTACCAGGTATGTATGCATTGCTATATGTGGAGCAAGTGGTTATTAACAGTATGGCCAGACTGTATTGATATCGCACAGTCTTAATGCTATTGAAATGGATCTTTATAATTATATTTTGGTTTAATTCTTATCCTCTGTAGTTGTGACATTGTGACCTTTGTATTGGTTTCCACTTCCATTTTTTAAGTTAAAGGTCATCAGTGTAATTGTTATTTTATATTAATAAGGTTAAACTGAGAAAGCTGAAAGAACAGAATCTCAAACTGGAAGAAGAGGTTGCAACTCTAAGCACATTAATAGCCAATATGAGAGGTGACTTTTTTCTTTTCTGATCTGTGTGAACTTTTAACATATGAATTGTGACGTTTTGTTTTGAAATTGCATATATAACACTTATGATGAAGTCTTGAAACTACATTTAAAGCCATGGCAAGTTGCTTAAGAATATTTCTGGTTATCCAGTTTTGAAAATACATTGTACAAAAGTACTTTTTATCTAACTAATGAACGCACTCCTTCCTTATATTATATCAAAAATGAAAATTATTGGTTAAGAAATGTGCTTTTTAATGACAAAATTAATAGAATACCACTAATGTGGATTATTTGAAATATATTTATTCTTAACTTTCACCTGAAGAGTTGTTATTAGATTCTAATTTAAATGACTGTGTGAAATGTCAACATAAATATTGATTTTACTAATCAGGATTAGTATCAGTAGAGAAGCTTGTAAAGGATCTTTCAACATGTGTGAGCAGAGTGCAGGCATTCAGAAGGTCAGCGTCACCCACTCTGTCACCCACTCCGTCAACGTCCAGCCAATCCTCTTATTCCTCAACAATCATTCCTCAACAATCAAGAGAAAGGAATCTACCAGCTGGAATCTACCAAGTGGGTATTGATGCCCTAAGAGAGCACCTGCGACTGGGAAAGTCCAGCCGCATACCATGGTTGTTAAGATCGGAGGTGCTGTTGGATCTGGTTACTATGATCCAGGGACAAGAGGAGTTCCGCTCCTTGTTTAGTCCTTCCCCTGAGGAGTTACAAATGCTTCCTCAAGCACGATTCCCACTGTCATGTGGACAGGACAAGTGTAAACTGGCTTTGGACGACAGAGCCGGTTTAAAGGAAATCATAGCGGCTGTTCCCACGGAGGAAAATTGATGGGTTCACAGCGGTCTACTGTGACCCGAATCACTACCCCAAGGAGGGAGAAATGGAGGCAATAAAAAAAGAAGGTGGGGTCAAAGCCATCAGGATGCACCCCGTCACCACTGCACCTCAGCAGAATGGGCGTAGTTTCAGTCGGTAATCAACCACCCCTCAGTCACGGCACTAGGAGAGAGGATTGGACATGTCAGTGTTGCCATCCAGGTTGGAGGATCAACTGTGTAATCTGGAGGCCGCTCTTCATTTCCTTGAGCCTCACCACGTGCTAGTTCTTGACGGAAGAGGGCTAAACACTAGCACTGAAGCCAACAACCCGGTCCGGCATTATATTTTGGACAAACTACGAGCTGTTGGAATAGGGACCAATCAGCTGATTCATTGCCATTGCTTTCTTGGATCTCCAGATATAGTGCTATTATTACAAGTCAGGTTTTATGAAAAGGGTGAGAAATCTATTTGGTTGCTGGTACAGAGATTGACCTTTTTAGGAATTGATATGGACATTGATTAGGAATTGGTATAGGGAAATCAGAGTTCCTGATAGCAGATTAGTAAGAGCTAAGAGAACTGGCACTGATATTCTCACAAAAGTGAGTAGAGGTCAATTGGTTCATGTTAAATGTCTGGCTAGTTTTGTCGGTCAGATTATTTCTATGTCAATAGTTTTGGGAAATGTAGTGCAACTAATGACGAAGTATATTAGCATATTTATTTCAAGTGCTCTTTCTTGGAATCAGAAAATGTTTGTGTGTGAAGATGCATGCAGTCAAATTAGATTTTGGATACAGAACCTTGATGAAGTAAATCATAGAATTTTACAGTTTTAACCTCAGTGCAAGGTAGTTTATTCTGATGCTAGTAGTACTGGGTTTGGAGGATATTGTGTGGAGACACCTAAGGGGGTGTGCCACGGGGGAATGGTCAGCTGATGAAGCGACAGAGCTCTACTTACAGAGAACTGATAGCTGTTTACTGGGTACTGTACTCCATGACAAACACGTTGAGTGACTCGAGATTGAAGTGGTTTTCTGATAATAAAGCTATTGTTAATATAGTAGAAAAAGGCAGCATTCTAATACTACTAGACATCTGTTAAAAAACGAATATGATAGCGGTGCCACTTTCGAGGAATTGCTGGTAGAAAGCAGAAGCAATGAGATGGAGGAAAAAGAAAGGTTTCAACAAGATGCAGCGGAGATGGAGTTGCAGGCTGAATAATGGAAATAGTTATTCTAGTGCTCTTGCAGATATTTTAATAATAATAATAATGATAAAGCAATATCAACCCAGAGCTACCGGCCTGTTACATTAAGCCAGCAGACAGTTCAAAATTAGGCTGGAAGGTTGTAGAAAATGGTGAAACATCAGTTGGCAGGTGACAGCGATGATGCAAAGAGGATCCCTAAAGCAGAGGCCAGAGCAGAAAAGTTAGAGAAATAAAGAAGAAACCTGTGAGATGGTCTCCCTACCCCCCCCAACAGCAGCTGGGGTATCGGTGAAGCAATAAAAAAAAATCACTGTACCAAAAAGAAAAAGTGACTGAATAAAGAATGAATAAATGGGAAGAGATTAAATTTCAACAAGCTTAAAGAAGACTTACAAAACTAATCTTATGACAGCTCAAATGTTATACAGTCCCATATTTCAAAGTACATGTTAGCAATTTTTCCACAAATTTCAACACTCCTTTGAGAAATAATAATAAAAAACAATCCTATCATAAAGATTATGCATAACAAAATGTGACAGGCCTCAAATATATATATCATTCTAAAATCACACACAAAAAACATAACGTTGAAACTTCTGATATTTTGGTATCAGTCATCTTAACTTATTAATGGTTTTTAAAACTAATGCTACCAGGGTCACACTGAAAAAATATTCATTGTACAGATCCTTATATTTTTTGTTATCCTGATGTAAGAAGTAAACTAAGTAAGGATCTAAAGAACTGATTTTTCTCAGTTTATTCACAAATCAACAGAAAATATTTTCTCATTGTGAACCTGTTACAACTGGATACAGATATCAAAGATTTATAAATTTGTCTTCTCATTCAGGTCAATATGTATATCTACTTAAAAATGTGCATCAAATAATAATAATAATAATAATAATACCATATACATTTGCTTCAACAGTTATAATGTAATCCACCATGGGCTTTCTTCATATCATAAATAATACTATTAAATGAATTTTAGTCATGATTCAATTTCATGAATAAAATACAATAGTAGCAGTCATGAGCATATATCCATCCTGTAACTAAGACATGGCAGGACAATTTAAGAGGATACTGCAGCCAAGTGATATCAACAGGTACATTTAGTTCAAACCTGCGTTAGGTATCTACATTCAGGTTGTCTTAGTCTTCTTCACTGGATGAATTCCTTCTTTCCTCCACATTGCCACTTTCCCTCTCTCTTCTATTGCGACGCCCTGTTATACAGAGTACATGAAAAGTTATAAACCATATCTGTAAAGTGAACTTTTAAAGTGGGCACTGGAAAGATGTTATTTCAATAGCAAATGGAGTCACAAAATTATTAAATACAGCTGTTACTGACTAGACTCCAGCTAAGAGAATATTGTTGATATTCAACATCACATTGACCAGAAGCAAAAATCTACATTCTTTGTCAACAGTATAGCTGTCTAAGTGTACTGCAGTATGTTTGTCAGTTGTACTGTACCAACCTTGTCTGATGTGGTTCAATGAAGCCAGCATTCTGAGCATAAAAGAAGCAGGCACAGTGACTGTGTCTCTGGTCTCCTCAAGCATAATGTCATTCCTTGCTACAACCTACAGTTACAAGTTTGTCATATAACTTACAATATCAATGGAATTCAGATACAAGACATCCCATAACATTACTAGATTCAGTTATTTTCTTTGGTATGGTACAAAGCTGATGATTCAAGACATTCTATTCAAAGAATTAGAAGTTGCACCTGGGTATAAAAGAAAAGGATGCTTACAGGTTTCACTCACCAATTTGAGCCAATAAAGCAAACATAAACTTATTTTACAGATAAAATGATTTTACCTCTTCAGCCTTAGCCTTGTGGAAGTCTGGCTGGGTGTTGGATGGGTACCAGATTTTGATGTCATAGTCAATGCCACTGCTGGCCAATACTACAACAAAATTTTCCTAATGTAGTTATGGCAATAGTATTTATCACATGCAATAGACTAGTTTGTTTATGCAAAATGTGCATATCTAAGAGTGCATATGTTCTACATCTCTAAAATCAATCATAAATTAATTAACTTAATGACTAAAACTTAACTGATTAAACCTGATTAAAAATGATGTAATTGCAAAATATATAAATATTTAGTCCCTTACACTGCCACTCGGTGTATAAATATGAAATAAAATGCACAAATAAGATTAAGAAGTACTGAAATAAGAGAGGATAAATAAGAAATGTAACCCAAGATTTATTTACTTGGATCAAAAGGGTGGGGCTGTAAGCAGTTGACCACATGTCTGTCAGCTTCTAACATCATGACCAGCTCTGTGGTGTGCCTGTCCCAGATAAAGATATGCCCACAGTCTGATCCACTCATCACATGATTGTCTCCCCAGAATGTGGCTTCCTTTATCTGGAGAATACAATTAATGCATTATATTACTAGTGACCAAAGTTGATATCAAAATGGATGTATTTTTCTATGATGAAGTATAATGCTGTATGATATAGCCAATCATGATCAAAAGGTAGTGTATTTTTCTTGGGCCAGACATCCCCAAGACAAGTTTTATCAGTTATAATATCATAACATATATTTATTCTGGAATTTCATTCAGGAACATAACTGACTCTTTGGGACCATTCCCACAGATATTTGGATCGATCTATCTCCATGGGGAGTCTCACTAAAGTGCTATCAAACTAACTGGCTAAAACGTCTGTCACGCCTAGTAAAACTGTTAGAGAGTAATTATCTTTACCCCTAACTGATTCGGTAGGCGTGACAGACATTTAAGCCTCTTGAGCTGATTTAGCGTAAAGCCCCAGGAAGTTAGGTCAATCCAGATGGATCGATCTAAGTATGGGAACCCAGTCTTTGTCTTTATAGATCTGTACAATACAAAAGTCACATAGTACTTCTTACTCAGACATAAAAACATACAGAACAGCAAACATGGGTAAGTTTTCACACGGTCCCCATTATCAACTTGGCATCAAATTTAACTCATGACATCCACTTACCATGGTTCTAGCGTTCCTATGTCCCTTGTAAACTCTCTTCACTGGGGGGTTGAACACCTTGGCCATCTCGGCTTTCTCTGCCTTCTCCTTCTGTCTTTTCCTAAACGCCTCCTGGAGCTTCATGGCCGCCACATTTCTCTCCAGGTGAGCATCACTGGAGGTTCTAAATGCATATATTATTATATAGTTATTTAGTAACAACAACAACTCAAGTAGTTCATGAACTGATTTTCTAAAAGAAAGTTTGCATGCAACTTGCTTCAATGGTCGTTGGTGCCTCTTTCTGCGTATTCCACTTTAGCTTTACAATCATCTTCTCACAGTGAAAAAAAACTTCCACGATTTTTTTAGACACTGCTCTTGACCAATAAACCAATAAAAACAAATGATTGGCATATAAATGCAAATTTGTATTTTGAATTAATTTTTTTCAAATGTCCCAAATTTTGAAAAAAAAAAAAAAATCTTTGACTGCCCATACCTTCTCTGCAGTCTTCTTGCCTCACTGCGTAATCTCATAATGGCATGCAAGTCCTCATCCTCACTGCTACTGGTGTCCTCTTCCTCCTCCTCACTGGACATGTCACTGAACAGCTGGAAGCCACGTCTACCACCACCACTGGCACTGGAAGAGCTGGTTTCCTGGACTCGGGAGGTACTGCCTATAAGGAGAGACAAACCATACTATATTTTTCTTTAACCACAACCAGCGAGTTCCATAACCCATATCCCACAAATATACATCAAATTTTGACTATTCAGCTTTAAGTACAAATGAATGTTCACAAGTTCAGATACCTCTTTTGCCTCTAAATTCAAAACTAATGTAAAAGATCTTTACTCTGCTCTTAATGGCAATGGCCTCACCTTGGGATTCTTGCTGACCAGATACAGTCTCTGGATTCTCTGGCTGACTGGATGTAGTACTTGAACTCTCTTGTTGACTTGATGAAGAGACCAATTTTTCTGGCTGACTGGACATGGTGTCTGAATTCTCTTGTTTACTGGATGGAGTATCTGAATTCTCTGACTGACCAGAATGCCCAGCAGTACTACCTGGACCTTCTGTCTGACTCGAGGAGCCTGCTGCTGTGGCTGCATGGTTCTGGCTTTCACTGCTTACATTCACAGATGGCAGCACCTGATCGTCACATTTCAGCTCCAGGCCATAAGTTTCGCCAGGCATGGTTTGTGCACTTGTAATTGAACTGTCAAAAGTGTGTTCTGTTTTTGTAGTGTCTGATGAAGAAGACAAACTCTCTAGCGTATTTGAGTCAGTAATTTTATCACATGCACAAGCAGGCACACTGGCTTCACCTGTACTTGTTGAAGAACAGGTGTCCCCAGTATTGTTACTTAGCCTTAAACTTTCAGTGCTATTTTCCACAATTTCACTTACAGTCTGACCCTTTGTATCCCTTTCCAACAGCATTTTCTTTGCCTTGGCTAAGTCAGCTGCCTGCTCATCTAAGAGAGTCATTGTGTCTGTCTGAGTACGTACAGCACCAGCACCTCCATCACCCTGACTTTCATGCTCTCTTGACTCCTGCCTGTCTGTATGAACTCTCACCCCCACCAAATGTCCATTTCCTTCAACTGGGAAAACCCCAGGTGCTTGCTGCTGAGATTGCTCACTGATTGCACTATGGCCCTGGCCAGAGTCTTCATTGTCTGATCTCGACTGTGGAAGGGAGAAATTCATTTCCACTCTTCCAGAGTCCACCCCTTCTGCACTATAATGTAAACTGACCACAGGGTTTTCCTGTCGGTCTTTAAGGGTCTGTTTTAAAAAGGTTATCTCACTTTGCATTCTGTCGATTTTTTCTATCATTGCCCTTTGAGATTCAGAGGAAGTTGCTGCAGGTGTTTCTGAGATGTTTACATCACTCTCTTCTGGATCAGCACCACCTATTAAAAAATTATATTATAGTGAGAGTTTAATTTCTTAAAGTTATTGTAATCATAAAGAACTTATACTTTTTATTGCATTGGACTGTTTGTAAGATTTTTGGAATACTGAATATTCCTTTTCAAATGTAGCATTTTCTTAACCAATAGTGTAGTTTTGGCTTAGAAAACTACAGAAACAAGCTGAGATTAACAGGAACAGGAAAAGCACCCCAAATCTCCAAAAAAGTTCTTTCAACACTTTAAGAAACAAACAAACAAACAAAAAATCCTGCAGGAAAATATCTTTCTATAATCATTTATCTGCCAATGCCTTTCAACTACAAACTGTGAGTGAATAACAACAGAAAATTAAAACCATTACCTACAGCTCCCTGACAAGATGGGGATTCATGCTGACTCTCTGCGGGAGGACAATGTGTCTGTTCTAGATCTGTCTCTTGTATTGCACTTCTCTCATCACAAATATTTTCACTACTTTGGACTTGACCCTGGGTTTCAGCGACATCACTTCCACCAGTAGAACTTGTTGGTTGTTCATTCAGCGTAACTTCTTGGGTTTCAGTTGGCTGTTCCCCCTCGCCAGAAGTGTCGTCTGCTTGCTGTTGTCCTTCCTGTGCCTCTCGTTGTGCGGGATCCAACAACCTCACCAACATGTCTGACATCCTGCGCATAATGGTCACATGAGGACTCTCTGTAGTTATATGACACACAGGATGATTAAAATTACTGTGTTAAATTGAAAGCCCAATTCATTACTACCTTTTAAATATTTATTTTTCTCCTAAGCTTTCAGCAAAGATTTGCTCAATTTAGGTTTACATAGCTTAATTTATCATGTATGTAAAATTTATTTTTCAAAATTTTGGTGAATGTATAATGCACTGAATCCAAAATTACAGTATTTATACAAGACAAGAAAATATACCCGTCTCATTTCTCTCCCTCTCTGGTCTGGCCTGGGGACCAGTGTCTGACCAGTCTCCACGTAATCTCAACCTCTTAACAGGAGGCTGCCGAGGCACAGGTCTCCCTGGGGATTTGTTCTGAAAAAGATACTTCTGTTTCTAATGCATGTCTCTGAGAATAAACAAGAATATCATTTCAAGAAAGGGATTATGTACACACTTTCCTTGAGGATTTGTTTCTACACCTTCAGTGGGCTTCTCTCTGTAAATTTTGTAACTAGATACAGGAGACTGCATTCACTTGTAACTTAAACCAGACTCTTAAAAAATAAAAACAAAAACAGAGCATATCACTTTATAGAGATATTCTCTTGGCAAAAATTACTCACATTGCTAGACGAAGCTGTATCATTTTCAGGTATGGCTCTTAATTCTGATGCTGTCCCTGATGCTGTTCCTGCTGCTGCATAATTTGGCTCGGGTGGTTCTGAAGTTGCTTCTTCCTTCAAAGAGCTTCCTAAGTGAAATGTTTTCTCTTCTTTGGCTTCTTCCTGCATGACAAGACAATTTCCAAGATAGAGGCAAATAGACATTTACATGGAGAAAAAGCCATAGCCATTCATCTATGTAAAAATTCCAACCATTTTACAAAAAAAAAAAAAGACACCTCCAATGAGTCACAATCAAAGTACTGGTGGCTTTTGATTGTCCCCTGATTATACTATAACCATTAAAACATTCCATACTGAAGGAAAACTGTTTTAGATATACCTTCACATCAAAAAGATAGAGGTATTCAGAGGAGTAGCTGGCCAGCACCTCTCTCCCATCTACACTGTACTGTAGTGATGTGATCCGGTGGGTTCTACCCTCAGAAGACAATGGACAAAAGCAGGACATCAACCCCTTGATTCCTTTGCCATGATAACTATCTGGAAAAGTCCATCATAAAGGCTTAAACTGATGGGCTACTTTTTGTTAGGATTTATAAACCCTCACTTGAGAAACTTTCCACAGTTAATGACTCGCATGTGCAGTTAACCTATTTCTGCTGGTTGTGGGTTCCTGGCCATTTCCAGTATTGCATGTGCATCATTATCTGTGGAAATGTGAATGCAATGAGTTAACTGTGCATGCATTACCAGAAAAATGCAGGAATCCATGACCAACAAAAATGGGTTTTCCGCATGTGTCATTATCTGTGAAAAGGTGAATCTCTCAAACCTACCTGTGAGTTTAATGTTTAAAAACGTTCTATGAAGACTAAATAGTTTGCAAACCTTTGACTGACACAAGCATTAATCCTCATTTCAAAAAAAAAAATCAATGATAAATCTACAAAAAAGCACACTTTTTTATTTGCTTTTAATTCTGTATGTAAGTACAATATCTCAATAATTTGATGCACATTTAATGCCATTTACCAAGAGTTGACACAAGTGATAAAACAACAGACAAAATAAGTCTAAATCTCTATCTTACTGGTAAGCCTGGTACCCAGCATTCTTCTGTCAAATATCTTCACTGTGCTGTCGGCACAGCCCACTGCTAAGTGATATGGAACAACAGGGTCCACAGCCAAGGCACTCACAGCTCTTTTATTGTGGATCAGGATATCCTAAAGAATAGATAACAGAACAGATGACTATACACATTATGTCTTAATATCCTAGAAGTGAGACTGAACTGAAATGTTCACACTATCTTTTTTTTTTTTTTTTTTTTTTTGAAAATCAAGTGTGCCTTACTATGAGAATCTATGGTAAATTGAAGTATCCAATATTTAGAGACTCTGAAAGTCAAATGATAAATTCATATATAAGTCTTTTAATAAAAATACCAATTTGTCACACATTTCATCTAAAACCATAACTTTAAATATACAAAAGAAAAAAAAATTATAAAACATCAAATCAAAATGCTTACTTCTTTACAGCTTTCCTTCCTACATGATGTCTTCAACCTGAGGTCAAACCATCGCACTGCCCCGTCTTCTCCACATGACAGAAAAGTGTGTGGGTCGTTGGGCAGAGTGAGGAGCTTTTGCAAAAATATAAAAAGATTAAGCATTTAATATTCATTGAGAAGATGCTGGGGTAGCGCTAACACTCGCCAATTCAGCCAAATGCTAAAACTGACTTAAATTGGCTAAACAAAAAGGGCTTGATTTGACTAATTTTAGTCTAATTAAAGTCAATTGGATAACAAATTAACAAAAATGTGGTGATTTGGCTAAGCGTAAAAAAATTGCTAGCGCTACCCCAGAGATGGATTTCAAAATAAAGAATGAGACAGGCTAGTCTTGCTCCACCACATTAAAATTCACCACTCTTTCTTGTGGTTTTTAGAGATCTCATTTCTCTTGAATAGTTTTGCACATTGTAGCTTTATAGCAAAACTGACATATTTCGTATTAGGCCACACTTTTTTATTTTTATGGATGACATCCTGCGCAAGCACCGATTTTAGTCCGTTCTCCCCCCCCCCCCCAAAAAAAAAGCCCCATCGAAGTCGGTTGTCGCAAACGGCGTTATTGAATTTGCCGGAAAATGAACTTTCTGCGCATGCGTATTACTGCCACGTGGAAATATGGCCGCTTTGTCATCAAATTCATCTCTAGGATTACTTTCAAATTACAGGGCAATTAATTATATAAAGTCATAAAGAGAACGGGACCGTCGTTTTGGATTGTTATGCCATTGATATTGGGCACGGAGATATCCACTTTTTTACAATTATGCAAAAGGCTGGCGGCGGCCAGCAATTATTGCCCGGAAAATTTCAGTGACATTCTGTCCAAAGCAGCACATACCAGTTTTTTTGTAGCGAAAAAAGGGTCGACAGGGCGTCGAGGTATTTGGTGGGCTGTAGGTCGGTCAGGCCACCTGACAGTTTGGCTGCTTCGTGTGAGTTGAAGTAGATCAAATGGCATTGACCGAAATAACCTTTTATAGATTTGGTAGTATTAAGCATATCTTTGCATCATTTTGTAACATTTCTGTGTACTGTTCATAATGCTTTAATATTCTGAGAGTACAAATAAAGACATGCTGTTTGTTTGATATTTGTTTTATTGATTGTTATACCAACAAAATGCATGAAATAACCTTAAATAGATTGGGTAATATGCAGCATGTCTATCAGGCCCGTAGCCAGCAATTTCAAAAGGGGGGTTCTTTTTTTGAAAAAGTGGACCATTTTCCATAAAAACTTGTATCTAGATCAAATTTTACCCAGAGTGGCCCTTTCCCAGAAAAAGGGGTGGTTCTTTCAACCCCCTGGCTACGGGCCCGTCTATTCATGACTTTTTTTTTACCTTTCTACGAAGTATTCACAATGCTTTAATATTTTGAGAGCATGGATAAAGACATATTGTTAGTTAGATACGTGTTTCTGTGGTAAATTTGTGTTTCCAGCTGTGTACTGACAGCATTCCTTTACTTAAGCAGCATTTTTTTTTTGGGACTGTTTTTTTTTTTTTTTTTTTTTCGCCCTCTCGCACCGATTTGGGGGTCCCCAGAGGATGTCATCCATAAAAATAAAAAAGTGTGGCCTTAACATACTACATAAGATGCTTTTATTTCCATAATATTTACACAGGGAAGTGCTCATAAAAAACATCAGCAAATACATTCAGTGACCTTGTATATGTTTCCTTGATATTCTCACACATATACACTATTACTCACCTCATATGTAGTTCCAAAATGGCAGTTAAAAGAATTGGATCCCCAGGAATCTTCCCTTAATATATCTGTATAAAATATCACACCATCTCCTGAGCATGAAACAATCTGCAATAAGAAATCAGTAAAGTTGATTTCAAGAAACTGTTCTTCAGTAAGTTCTGGTACAATACAATAATACTGATACGTATAATATTGATACTGATAAGCAAAAACCTTGTATCTCTCATCCATAAATGACAAATAAAATTGGTATTTACCTTTGCATCACTTGACTGAGGCATAAACTTGGCACTGAAAATATTTGATCTGTGTCCAGATCTAACTGATGTCAGCCTCTGAATCAAATATAAAAGTTAAATGTACAAAAATAATTTAAATTAAAAACATATAGCAATTTTAATCAAGATTAACTGAAAAGTAAACAACAACCAGCAGTTTTATTATCTTCATAGTTGTTTATATGATGAAGAAATTTTTAAAACCATTTTAATTTTATTAAAAAATATATCTAGAAAAAAAATGTATAAAAGTAATAGAAAAGTAGGAAATACAAACTTTCTTCGAAAAAGGATCAGTAATGCTGAGAAACTGGTCATCTGATCCAGATAAAATATATTGGCCAGTGTCATTCCAACAAATAGTGTTCACCTGAAAAAAAAAGAGAAACAATAGAAAGACTTCAAGCTATTTAATAGAACTAATTTTGAACATCTTAACATATTGATAATTATAAAGTATTTGCTCAGTAAGTTTGAAACTGACAATTAAATTGGATACAGAGTTATGCATATGAGTAAAAAATTTAAACTTCTTAGGATCTTTGTCTCTTCTTTTCCAAAGCAGAATGGAAAGGTTATGCTCATATAAGAAATTCTGATAGGTATACTTACACAGCCGTCATGCACTGTCAACTTGGTGTCCAATTTCAGTTTCTGTACAAAGTCTTCATTATCTTTAATTAGAAGAACATGGGGTATCCAATTAATCTATTAAAAGCAAGTGCATTTTCATTTTGAGCCATTGTAGTCCCAAGCTCTGGCACACTTGACTAAGACTTTTAAGTCAAATGTTTTTAAAGATGTAGACAAAAGTAGTGCTCTTTACCTTCTATCTAGAAATAAATTATGTCATTTTAAATAGTGACATTTTGGATATTTGACACTACAAGTTTCAAAGAGAAAAAAAGAAACCAGAATGAAGTCATTTGCAAGTCAACTTCACAAATGCAACACATTCTTGAAACAGTATCACAGATTCACACAATGAAATAAATCAAATTAACCATTTTATAAAATGATAAATTCTACCTATCTGTAAGTCTCATGGTATTTGATGAGCTACAACAGTTTTGTCGAAGTTTCATCCAAATATGGACTACAAACATGATATCCCTTAGCAAAATATCTGGCCTGCTGCAAAAATGCTGCAAATTAGCAGCAATAACATTTTTCTTGCAAACTCCTGCAAACTCAATATGCTGTAAGCTTTCAATTTTGCAAAGGGATTACAAATCTTTCAAATCTCAAATATTTACAGGGATAACAACTCTTCATACAAGTTACAAGTATAATGTAAATGAATATCATTTTACCACCAAAACGGCGGCAATTGTAATTATTCTGAAATCTGTCCTTGCCATCCGACTGCGTGCGCCTTTAATAGATGGCGGGCGATAGAGGCCTGTCCTCCGTTATAGATATTCCCTTAAAAAGGCGGTTTACAAAGACATTAAAAACTTAAACAATTAACTTTGAATGTCGCAAGGATTCATTAATCATTGGTGTGCATTGGAAAATCGTCGTTTACCCCAGGAAAATCTGTGTTATGGCTCTTTTCCCGACAAAGTAAAGAGTTGTTATCCCTTTAACTCCGCGTGCTTGTACTAGTTTCGTCTGGTTTCGTCGGCAGAACGAGCGATGCCGAAAATTTATCTGCAACACTATTGAACAGTGAAGGGACTTACTACTTATATCTGCAGAAAGTGACCTAAGAGTCTTCCATCCATATTGCACTTTGTTCTGTTCTTTAAAAATGTTGCCTTTTGCAGCCATTGCTATTTGTATATTCAGTCACAACCGAAACTCACGACTGGATATTTCATGACAAGAGAGAACACTATCCACCGATATAGCTAATCGCTCACAACATACTAAAAAGGGATTTTTGTTATCATATGCATCATTTGAGATAGCTTCAAAAAATGTGACCGTTTGAATATAATATTGAATAACAATGAAAATACCAAAGAATTCATCGTAAAAAAGTCATGTGTATTTTATTTTAGATGATATAAGCACTGTTGATCACATGACATTTGGGGATGACCCAGATAAGGATGCAGGGTGTTAAAAAATGAGACAGCGGTCAGGATATTTACCAAACATGAAAAGCCGAGAGAACAGGGTGAGTTTTAATATCCAATGAGATGTGAAATATATACATAACTGATTTGGAAACAGTCTCTTGACTTTAGTTACAAGCCGTAATTGGGAACACTGTAATAATCCCTCTAGTACCCCTTCAGGACCAAACTCCGTCTCGACACTTCACATTGAATTAGTGATGACATGTACGGCATGAGCCCATTGATTATATATCCATTTATATGATTTAAAGCTATATTTCACTAACTGTTGCTGTTTGTTGCCCTGTTAATATTTTATATTATCTTTTTTCTTTCCCCTTTTCACTGTTTGCAAAATATCTTTAATGTTTACAGAAGTAATTGCTACATATACACAACGTGGATCAAAGTTACAAGGCCACAACAAGATCTAGGCAATACAAATTTGAACACTGGTAAACAAGTGTGCTTACCCAGTTGTGTACCACGTCTTGCACACCCTGTAACTGTCTGGTTTTTGGTTTTTATTAATTAACATGCCATCTTCACCAGAACACTGTGATTCTTACTGCTTAATCCATTGTTTTTTATGCCTTTTTATCTTTAGTTTCTCAACCACCTGGCACTTGAATTAACTAACCTTTGTAGTTTTTTCAAGTGTCTCTCAAGTCACTTATTAATATGTACCATCTCAGTTTACGTTGTACACATGCGGCATTTGTTATTGGAGTTAATTATTTTATACTTGCAAAAAAGCTATATACTTTTAGGACTCATAGTTTACTTTATTGTGCAATTCTCTGTGTGTGTGTCTGTGATTATGTTTTTAAAGATTTTATCCTTATTAAATCTTATCTGATATCTTGACTAAATCCATCATCAAATTGTTCATATGAATATAAAGATTGTTTTTAGTATAGTACACCTTTGTAAGAATCTGATAAGTTTTAATGGCAATATGCTATTGCATATATGTGTTACTAAAGAATGCTGTACTATGTGCTTGCTTCTACTTTTATTTATTTATTTATTTATTTTGCAGAATCTCAAGAGTTTTGTAAAAACATAAATGATTCAAAACTGATTGCCCCTAATTATTTTGTACTTACTTCAGCCAAACGAGGGTGTCAACAACACATCTGACCCCGACCCTCAGTTAGCCACTAAACTACCACCAGGCCGCTCTACCATTAGTACAGGTACCACATCCAAAATGGTAGATCCTTATGCCATTTATAAAGATCCACTAGGCTTACGCCCTCATGTGGTGGATATCGACACCTTAACAAGGTGGAACAAGACAGAGGTACCAGCCTATGAAGAAGTAATAGATAATTCTACTCAGACTGTGCCATTTCCATATAGAGAAGATATTAATGCCAAAGTGGTGCTGTGGTAAGAAATGTTTTTTGTAGGACAAAACATAATGCATAATTCTTGTCGTTTTATATTTTTTTAGTGAGAAAATGTTGTCATAATTTGATCATAAGAAATGCATTGGACAAATCTCAACTTTAGGAAACGACCTTGTACACATGTATGTAACCTCATTTCGGTTATAAATTTTAATTTGCTTTCTAATATCTCTCAAATAAAGCTAAAAAAAGATATGTGTGCATTGATAATTAATGTCTGTGACTGTGGTATCTTTCCAGGCCAGGTGATGTGACACGTCTCGGTGTTACAGCTATGGCACATCCAACCAACGAAGCTATGAATGACAGGAATCCACTCAGTGATTTAATGTATGAGATAGGTGGGCCAGAACTCAGGCAGGAAGTGAAACATTTGAGAGGTAGGCTGATGCATTGTGTCATTGTTGTCTTGTTTGTAGTATTATAATGTATATAGTACTTGTTCTCTTTATTAGAGCAGCATTTGTTATAAGGTAAAAAATGTCATTTTTTAGTTTCAAAAGATATGAATGCTTGTAGGGACTTAATACTAGATTTTGCCATTCAGCTGCCATCAACAATGTTCTAGTACTTCCTGTGCTCTAAACTTAATGAGTTCTAAACTCAGAAGTGTAGATGTGTAATGAAGATGTTCTGAAAGTTCTCAGAAATTTGGATGGTACCTTTAAGCATCAGTGTTTACCTGTACAAGTGCTCCAAAATGACATATTCCTAGATTTGAATGCTTTACCATAAGAAGTTTATACAGTCAACTTTTTCTTTGACAGGATGTAAAACTGGCGAGGCTAAACTCACCAAAGGCCACCAGTTACCCGCCAGATATGTGATTCACACAGTGGGTCCCAGATATAATCTCAAGTACCACACAGCTGCAGAGAGTGCGCTGTTCTGTTGCTATAGGAATGTCATGCAAATTGTCAAGTAAGAGGCAGCAGTTGTAGTAAACACATTGTCTAGGAATGATATGTTTTTGTCTTTTAAAGTTTAGAGAGATTCAAACTTATAATAGCTACCAAGAATGTAGAAATATTTTCAGATATGCAATTTTAAAGCTTGCTCATGGAATTGTATTTTTTTTTCTTTATTTCAGAGAAAATAATCTTTCTTCCATAGCTTTTCCCTGTATACACTCACAAAGGAGAGGCTATCCAGTGGAGGAAGGAGCCCACATAGCACTACGTGAGCAATACATATATTTATAAGAGATTCGAAAATATTATTTTCATGTATGGCACATATTTATTTTAGTAATAAAAAAGATTCGAAAAGATCAAAAATTGTTCATCAATTGTTATTTATTATAATATTTGTAATAAAATTGTTAATCAGAATTAGGATATTGCTGCATAAAATTTGATGCACTGATTACACATCATTGTGGTGTGATGCATATTTTAATGTACAGACTAGAAGCAGTAATATACACCTCTCTCTTTGTGTTTGTAGGCACAGTTCGTAGGTTTTTAGAGAAGCATGGTGACTCTGTGGACACAGTTATATTTGCAGTAATGGAACACGAGGAGGTATATGGCATACTGTATAATCAGAACCTGTGTTATCAAAATATATTTTGCATCTTGTAGAATATTTCAGAGCATCATATCATATTAAAAGTCAATTCATGGCTCTTAAGCTGAGATAACTATGAATACTGATAACTCATAGTTCAGTCTGTATGGCTACTTTAAGAATTATGACATTTCATGCCTTCACAGAGTAGAGAGCTGGAGACATGGAGAGTACTGTGCAGCCGAGAGCTGGTAATACTAAGATGATAGTTTCAGTGTGGTAGACATTTAATTATAAAGAAGTGGTGTAGGAATTAGTTTCACTTTCTGTGAATTTTTTTCTTGTTGTGTGGTGTCGCATGCTTTCTTTTTCTCTAGGAAAAGATACATACTAGTACTTTTAAGAGATATACTCTTACACTATCCTTCATTAAAAGTCCCTATGCAAATTGCTTTTTTGAATTTTGATACTTGTGATATATCTCATCTGACACATTTAAGTTAATGTTACGCATGGTCACATTTGTGTTTATATATGGTAGCAGTAATCATTAGCATGTTGAGTTGAATTATTTTTCTGAGAGAGAGAGGGAGAGAGAGACTCACACTGCTTGTACCTACAGGATAACCTTAAGATTTTTTAACTGATTTAAATTTGGAAAGTTTCGGTATTTTTTTGTTTGCCCCTTTTAACACAAAGTAAATTGGTTTAAAGTCCATGTACTACATGTAACTCCAGCTTGCTCTGTCCCAGCCTTACCCTTCTTTCAAAGCTAATACCAACTATACTAACATTGTTTATTTTGGATGGTTAAATTGAAAAAAATAGCACCCTGAAGAGCATACAAATAAAATCATTTTAATAGCATTGTGGTACNGGTCTTTCAGATTCTGCTCAATGTTATGTGGTAGTGGCTAAGAAATAAGCTTCCTATGGCTGTAACACCTAATCAAATAAGACTTTCATGTAGGTTCTTTCCATTAAACATAATTGGCGACTTTTAGGTTAAAACATTATTGAGACTTTTTTCATTGATACATTATTGAGACTTAGCCATAAGCTGAAACATATAAATGAGTTTAATCGACGCAAAAAAATTAATAAAATAATAAATGAAAAAACATTGAGGAAACATCAAAGGTAGGCGCACGTTCTCGTTAATTTTCCCTTCAATGATTAAAAAATATTACTTCACACAGTGATTATCTCCTAATCTAGGTGACTGCAAAAATTAAGTTTATACTATTACACAGAGAAAATGCATCTTTTAGGAAAGAAAGCGTTCAGATGAACATTTGCATGGGAAAAATTATGTCATACAGACTCTATGAAACAGACCAGGATGGCCGAGTGGTTAAGGCGTTGGACTTAAGATCCAATGGACAAATGTCCGCGTGGGTTCGAACCCCACTTCTGGTAAACCCTTTTTCTAAAAAATTATTAACAAAAATGAAACACGATAAAGTAGGCCTATATAGGCCTACTAATAAACCCAAATTTATTCCGATGTCAGATCTTTATGGCAAAAGGGAGTATATTGAATTAGACTGAAAATTGCATCGATTGCACATAATTCTTTTGACACGACAGTGTTTGATTAAGATTTAAGCCATTTTGTCTAAAAACTCAAAGATGAATACATCAAAGAGAAGTCAGAGAAAGGAGATCTCATTTTCAGGGTGTCTCATTTTAATATCTTTCACACGCACATCAAGCTGAAAAGTACTAACCTTTGTTGTCTATCCTGTAGATGCGTGTATGACAATACAATCGATTTGATATAATTTGCCAAAATGCAGGATGTGCGGTTAGTCTGCAAGTGTGTACAAATACTTAATGTCACTGTATGTGTACGAACTTGGTTTTACACACTTATTTGTACAAAGAAGCAATTACTCTGGCATAATACACGGCGGTGCTAGATTGCTAATTCCGCCAAATTTGTTCATGCTGGTTTCCCCGGCAACGTCTGTCAATTCCATAACGCTCGTACATGCACACCTAGAATCCACCGTCATCACACTGTACGACATCACGGTCGACCTTTGCAGTGTGCTTGCTGACGTCATCGGTCCGTTTCCATGGCAGCAGCAGCACAGGACATCCTTGGACCGTTTTCTGAACCCCCGAACGAAGATGTAGTACACGAAGAAGTTGAAGGCGGAGTTAAAGGCGACTAGGAAGTTGGTGATGATGTTGTAGTACCTATGGTTAGGTCCCAAGTCCACGCGTCCCTCCTGTGCGTATAAAATGTGGTTCACGAACACCGGGGTCTGGCAAAGGAGATAGAGTATTACGATCACGATCAACATGGCGGTGATTCTTCCCTCTCTCTCCCGAATCTTTATCGACTGGAAGGAATGAGAGAGCTGCTGCCGCTCTGACCGATTTTGACGAAGCGTATTAACGAGGAGGAAACTGCTAATGAGTAAAACGAGTAAAGGAATGCCATATACGAACGTGAGGAAAGAAATTGAATGAGCCATGCGCGTTCCTTGATGCAACCCTATTGCAAAAGGAACTACCCTCACTTCCATGGTGTGTGTGCATTCGTTCCACGTCTTTTCCGTCCTCTGACGGAAGAACCAAAGAGAGTTAAATACAACATCAACCAAAATGAGCACCGTCAGCTTCAACCGATTTCGTCCAGCTGTACTCCAATTGCTAATTTTGAACGGATGGGCAATGGCGACATACCGATCTACGGCGACCATCATGATGATCCAAATCGAGGCTGTCAGCGCCATCATGCCGAGCGGATATTCAAACGGCTCGATGTAGGGCCAAGCACGGAAGTAACCCTGCAGGAGACCGGTCTTTGGGTATATTGACCGGAAGAACTGGAAGAGGAGCGCGTGAACTAAGTAAAAGGTGTCGGCGACAGAAAGGGCGAGGAGAAAGTAGAAGGTGGACGAGCGCAGACGGTCCACCCATAGGACGGCGAACGTCAGCATGTTGACCACGATGCCCACGAAACACACGCAGCCCGTCAAGACCGTGTCCACTGCGAACGCAAAGTGGTCGCCATGTTCATCAACAGATGCCACTGTAATGTTTGTACTCGCACAGGTGCTCGTATTATTATGCATTGTCAAGAATAATTTCCTGGGGGAATTTACCTTTTGCTTTTCGGTCCTTTATTGTTTATTGTTTTTTATTTTTCAGACTGTAGCAGAGTTATTGCTCAAGACTTTCTTTTTGATTAATACATCGAGTGGTCCATGGTCCGCTTTGACAACCGGCTTTTTTTTATAGACCAAACTTTTGCTGTACACAGATCACCAATGTACCAACAGTATCCGCTTGTTACGTAGTCCTTTAACTCACAATGAGCATTTCTGTCAAATTAGAAATCCAGTATTTTCTTTTAACAAGACTCCTTCTTGAAAGAATATCCAAACTTTCTTCGTAAGGCTGAAGCAACAACCGAAATTCCGCGAAGAGTGCAACCGTGTTTACTCGACTCTAAATTCTGATGACAGCGTCACATTGTAAAGTGTTCGTTTTACCATACCTATGTGGCTTTTATACCTTGACGAACGGTGTCGTTCTAAAACGAGTTTCCAATATGTTTCCTCCATTTCCCTTTGACTTTGAAGTCACTTGAATGACAATTCCCACCGTCAAACGCTTGTTTATTGGACGTAATGGCACTACCTACCTTGAAATTTCCGGTTCTTTGGATTTGTTTGTGTGTGTGTGTCAAATACCCAGTATACATTTCAGCTGCGTCATATGGGAACTTCACCAATCAGTTGGCAATTGTTTGGTCATCAGTTTGCGTTGAATGTATCCATATCTCCATAGAATACGACAGCGCAATTGTTATCTTGGGAATAAGGCGAAATAAGTTTCAAATTTTGTTCCGCTTGTGATATAAAGTATCCGATGGCTTCGGTCTTATCAATCATGATTTAATCGGTACAAAAATCGCTCGGAAATAATAGTTGCATTTGCACTGAAATAAACGGTCGTCCTTTTCCAACGACTTATGTTGTTTTTACTACGCCCTATTAAGTGTCCTTAAATTTGCTCGAGGCTTTTGAGTTAAAAAATAGAGTAAAAATCTCCTGACGCCAGCATGATGCAATGTTTTACCAGTAATGATATGATTAATGTCCTGACTATGCTAATCCTTTAGTCTTCAGGGACTTCATTTTTATCCAAATTTGTCCAGCACAAATCCGTTCAATGATGTATATCTTGAGCTGCCTAATGCCAAAATGCGTGCCAAGCTAGACTGTTCTTTTTTTTCGTATCTCTTAATCACGTACGCAACATCGGAGGTGGGGGGGGGGGGGGGGAGAGTTAATTGCTCTTCGCATCCCTCGGTGTTTTAGTATCAGTCAGAACAGACAGATGGCGTGAATACGTCGTACTGAATTTTGCAAAAACAATGTCATTACCTCAACTGTAAATCCCTTGTACATGGATAATTGATTCCCGCGTGGTTTGCGCTGCGTTTTGGGAGCAGTGCCTGTCGTGTTCATTTCTTTTATCTGTCTGAATCGAAGTGTGATTCCACATTGGAAATAAATTTTCTATTTGAAGTTGCAGACACGCTATCAGGCTGTGCATATAAGGTCGACTTTATTTCAGATGTAACTAGGCGTGCAGTAGAGTAGCTGACGTAATTCTTGTATTGGCGATGGCAGCTGCTTTGCCTAGCTCTTACTTTAAATTGTATCTTAATGGTAGATCAGGTGATATTATTTACCATTTGGCTGTCACTGAAGACACGGCAAATGATACGTTACGTTCAGTGCACTGTACAAATACTCCTTTGTAAACTGGCACCGTTGTCTCCCGTCACCATTGTCTGCCTCCCCCCCCCCCC